ATAGAGTATATTCGATTAAGAATGTCCACGATTTAGCTTTCCCTGATTCCATATATGTGACCTGGTCTACGAAAAGGGAGCTTACGTGCGAAAACTAGTTTTCTGTGAAAAAGCTGTTAAAAGTAAGCATCTCGTTTCGTCAGTTTCTCATTATCTCGTTAATTGTTCTCCGCGCCGGACGTCCAGTAAGTGTTGTTGTTGGTCCAGTAAGTGTTGTTGTTGGTCCAGTAAGTGTTGTTGTTGGTCGGAATATTATTATAGTTCATCGTGTAAGTTGCTAGTGTGGAACATTTAAAAAAGTAACACTGAAGAAGTGACGTTTACTGTTTCTGTTGATTATCGTCTTTCTCTACATTTTTAGTACACTTCTAAGCAAGTTAGGATTTTCTGCTTTTCACCACGTGAAAAAGCATCTCATCTTCCATCCGAATCAACCAAAAAGTGAAAATTGATTTTTTGACACCTAAGCCCCCTTTCCGTAGACCAGGTCACATTTGCTTAAAAAACTTGTTCTTTCAACTTTCTTTTGACCATGCACATTAGCGTGGGCCGAAAATCCGTTTTTTTATAGAAATTTGATTGGTAATAGCAAAAGTATGGTTCATTATGCTCTTAAAACAATCTGTGCGAAAGATGAACATTTTTGTTCAATATCTTAGGCTCGCCCAAGTCCATCAAAGTTCAATGTGCTCAAAAAAATAAAAATTAATAAATAAATTTGTTTACTAAAATTGCAATTATCTTCGAAAGTATTCTTCTTCTTCTTATTTGGCGCTGTAACCGCCTAAGCGATTTTGGCCGAGTCCAAAACAGCACGCCAGTCATATCTCTTCTGTGCTAACTGACGCCAATTGAAAATGCCAAGTGAAGCCAAGTCCTTCTCCACCTGGTCTTTCCAACGCAGAGGAGGCCTTCCTCTTCCTCTGTTCCCAGCATCGCGGCCCGCGTTGAATATTTTCAGAGCAGGAGCGTTTCTGTCCATCCGAACGACATAGCCAAGCCAGCGGAGCCGCTGAATTTTAATTCGCTGCACTATGTATAATTTGGTATATGGACCTTTTTGTAGAGAATCGAAGTAAGCCAAGAAATTTATTTTTTAGCACTTAAACTTTGATGCACTTGGGCGAGCCTAAGTTATTGACCAAAAATTTTCATCTTTCGTATAGATTGTTTTTACAGCATAATGAACAATATTTTTGCTGTTACCAATCAAAATTCGAAAAAAAAAACAAATTTTCGGCCCACGCTAGTGCACATATCCTACTATGTTTTACATTGAAACGTAAATTTGTGTATCTATTTCCTATCTTTTACTATCTAACTGATCTCTATATAAATGACTTTCCCTGTCTCATGCTCTTTAATAGTGATTACAACAAATACACACATTGTTACTGTTATTACGTTTTGTCGCTTTTAACTTAGTTCTAAGTATTGCGAATTCATTGATAAAGCTATCCTCGAAACGAAAGGACTTGTTCTTCCTGATTATATTGTAACCTAAACTTACCTATTTTTAATAAAATTGGCAACTAATGGGTTAAAATATGGTCATCAATGCGTTAAGTCAAAGTCGTAAATGGGTAAAATTATTCATAATTTGCATAATAATAAAATTGAACTAAATTAACAAAAGATACTACAAAAAACTGGGTTACCAATGGGTTAATGCATGATCAGTAATGGGTTAAGACGTCAAAATTTTACTCTTAAAAAGTAGTTCAAGCGAGTCTAATGGAAAGAAAATGATTTCAGAATTTTGAGCACCCGCTTATATGGCCCGGCCCCAGTGTCCGGCGTAGTGATTACACCACATTAACGGAACTGTATCTAAATTATATGTATGTATAACGTTTATCGATGCTTGAATTAATTTGGCAGGGTTTGTTTTAAAAAATATTGCAGATAATTTTCACTAAATCATCACGGGTTCTTACCTGTTAATTGTAATCATTGCTATACATAACAACGAAACTCCAATGTTGCCATATTGGATGAAAGGAATTAGTTTGCAAAGGAATCTTCCATGTGTCCACGTGCCTTGAATAAATCTTAAAGCACTGAAAGGTAGCACTATGGCACAAAACAACAAATCGGCCATACATAAACTGCAAAAGAGAAAATGTTTCAATAAATATGATACGTCCAAGTGAAACAAGGTGTAATATGCAACTAAACTTTATTAAAACTAAATATAAGTAAAAGCTTAAATGTCAAGAGGTTTAACATTACCAATAACAGATGTTATATACTGGTATTTAGAGTATAACAGAGTATGCATAAGTATACATACATATGTTCATGTACATTTAATTCAATGTTAACAATGTTGCCAGATTAACCTAGTTTTTTAAGAGTATTTACTAGCAAAGCAATAGTTGAATATATAACATTTATACACCCCTATTTACGAAAATCTTCGGCCTTAAAAAGATCCACTGGTTTCCTGTTGCACTCACTTCTACGAAGTGGTTCAGCTACGGACAATCCTCTAAGTGGTGTGCTCGGATCAGCGGCAGCATTAGAGCTGCGTTCCACAACGCGCTCTGCTCCAGACAGCCGTTTTTGTGTAGCGACGTCCGGGTATGATTGTGCAAGCGGAAGCTCTTCACACCTTTCCTTCAGTTGGTTTTGACGCCGTTTTTGATAACCAATCGGAGTTTTTGAACGACGTACATCATTTTTCCCAGCACTCTGGTCGATGTGACCTCATCCATTTTGAACCTCGCGAGTAAGTATACCGGTTGCGAAGGTTTAAACTTTGGGCTGCTGTATCGTTGTGACTCATTTTGCTTATGAGTAATTGGCAACGTTTGCGACAGCAAGGTGCGTACGGTACGGCCATGCAATAATTGAACAGGCGTCTTACCTGCAGCATTGGGTACTGAGCGATAAGTCGATAGGTACTTTATTAAAGCAGCGGAAATTGGCAACCCATCTCGTATATTTTTTAACATTGCCGTTATAAAAGTACGCACAAAACGCTCAGCTAAGCCATTTGACGCCGGGTGGAAAGGAGCTGATGTGATATGCTTTATGCCATTGCCGGCACAAAATTGTTTGAACATATCGGCCGTTATCTGCGGCCCATTGTCGCTGACAAGCGTTTCGGGGAGCCCTTCAATGGCGAATATAGCGGAGAGAGCCATAATGGTATCAGTTGTCCTCGTTGTTTTCATTTGTGTCACGTAGGGGTATTGGGAGTACGCGTCTACGCACACGAGCCACATACAATTGAATATAGGGCCGACAAAATCAATGTGAACACGCTCCCATGGTCAGATGGCTACTGGCCAATTACTGTTCTCGCCCGCTGGGCTAGATGAGTTAGTTTTACAACTTTCGCACTCCTTAGCAACGTTTTCGATGTTTTTGTCAATACCGGGCCACCAGCAGTAGCTGCGCGCAAGCTGTTTCATCTTCACAACACCCCAGTGGCCGTCATGTAAAAGCTGCAAAATGCGTTTGGTTGGTTGGTTGAAGTGGCGAGTTTAACAACTCCAATTAACACTTATGCGTGCCGTTTTAAAACCACTACTCGCAATTCAAACCTGAAAAGAAAGCCCGAAAAGAAAGCAGCAGAAGTCGGTTATATATCTCAAACCCAGCCTGTGGAGTTCAAGAACTTAAGATCTTGCAGTGGGTTAATATCACTTATGTCTGTTAAACCGCAGAAGCAGGGTTTGCCTAGAAGCCTGATTCTAGTCCTACATAGTGCTGGGCAATCGCAGAGCAGATGATCCACCGTTTCTTCTGCATCTGGTGAATTACAACTACGACAAGATATGTTGTGTTCCAGTCCTAGTCTTGCCGCATGGATTCCCACGGCCCAGTGGCCTGTGTAAACGGCAGTTAGTCGAGATGAGGGATCTATCTGTTTAGTTTGAGCAAAATGCGTTTACGTAATGCAATTGGAATAACAACTCGGTTTGCTTGGCCCTGCAAGTAAATAATGTTATTATTAACAGTTAAATAAAGCTTTTTGTTGAAAAATGGTACAAGATGCGAATCGCTTGCGGTTAGGTGCTTCGGCCAGCCATTACGTATAAAGCTGCGAACTTTCTTTAGAGTTTCATCTGCTTCTAGATGTTTTCGTATAAAGGGGGGGTTTACAGGTGTTTCGAGATGATCCACATTGGGTCAGTTGCGATGGGTAACCGCGAGAGTGCATCGGCATTCCAATGTTGCGCTGTTGGTTTATACCGAATGTCGTATTGATAGGCCATCAAGGTAATTGCCCAGCGTTGGAGTCGGTGTGACGTCATCGTAGGCAAATGCTTGTCCGGACTAAAGACGCTCACAAGCGGTTTATGATCCGTAATCAACGTAAACTTACGGCCATACAGGTATTGATGAAGTCGCTGTACGCCAAATACGATGAATAAAGCCTCTTTTTCAATCTGGCTGTATTTTATCTGGTTTTGGTCAAGCGTTTTAGATGCAAAGGCTATTGGCCTCTCTGTGCCATCCGGATAGGTATGTGAGATCACAGCCCTATGCCGTGCGAAGATGCATCAGTAGCAAGAAGAAGAGGTAGGTGCTCTTGGTAATGCGCTGACTGCGCTGCCTTCACAATCGCGTCTTTTAAAGATGCAATGGCGTGCTTTTGCGCCTTTCCCCAGTTAAAATGAACGTTCTTCCGTCGCAGCTGATTGAGAGACGCTGCTAGTTGTGAAAAATTCGGGATAAAATTATGGTAATAATTAACTTTACCTAGAAAGGCCTCAAGATCCTTAAGATTTTGCGGACTGCGTAGTTTTCTAACAGCCTCCACCCCTGCCTCGTCTGGTGAAATACCCCTAGCACTGATTCGTCTACCTAAATACTCAATTTCGTCTTTGAAAAACACGCACTTTCCCTTTTTGCATTTTATACCACTGGTTTGGAGGCGCATGAAAATTTAATTTAATCGCTCTGCGACTGTTGGCGCGGTCACAATTATGTCGTCTAGATAATTTGCGCAACCCTCAATACCATGTAGAAGCTGCTCCAAAAATTGTTTAAAAATTGCTGGGGCGCTTGCGATGCCATATGGCATTCGTGCTCACCACTAAAACTGCTTCGTCGTCTAACTCTAACTGCAAATATGCATCTTTCAGTTCTATTTTAGAAAACTGCTTGCCGTACCGCACTAAATGGAGCAAGGTTTCGCGCGTTGGCAACGGATAGCGCTCAACATCAATTTGTTTGTTTATGGACACCTTAAAGTCTCCACATATCCGAATCGAACCGTCGGGTTTTGACGCGAGAACTATAGGTGATGCCCACTCACTAAATTGCACCGGTTTCCAAATTCCAGCGATAACCAGTCTATTTGCCTCTTCGGTGAATTTAGGCATGAGTGCGAACGGAATAGGCCTGCTCTTAAAAAAATTTGGCAGGGCCTCGGGTTTTAGTTTAACACTTGCTTTAAAACAGTTTACGGTGCCTAGGGCTGGCTCAAAAATTTGACTGTATTTTTCTAGGAGCGCGTTTACCTCGGGCATTGAGTCATTAAAAGTGAGTACTTGTTGTATTTTGTACCCAAAGGCTTCGAAGAGATCTGCACCGAACAGATTATTACCATTGTGCACGCGAGCGACCACCAAATTGACTTGCTTTTGTTTTGCACCACATATTGCATTTACCTTGAGTTCCCCAAGAGTATGGATTTTGGTGTTGCCGAATCCGAATATCGACCTATTACACGGGCTAAGTGGTGGATTATTTAGTTCTTTGCAAGTTTCTAACGTTATAATAGAAAGAGACGCACCGGAATCCATCTGGAACTTTATTAGTTTATTCATTACTTTTAAGTCGATGAAATTTTTATTTTTCTGTATTGTATCCACCTCATTGCACCTATGTTTGTTGTTTCGCTTGGAAGTTTTCTGTGTGCATTGTTGCTCCGTTGTGTTTTTCTTCATGTACTTATTCGTACCTTTCGCCATGCATACCGGTGCTATATGCCCTACCATACCACACTTACGGCACACAGCGTTTTTAAATTTACACTGCTCGCGGCTATGTGAGGTACCACAGCCTGAGCATGACTTGTACTCACTCTGCTTGTTATTGTTACTAACCCGAGATGTACGAGAAGCTTCTGAGCTTTGAACTGCATTTACCAATGAAGTGGCTTTGCCTGAAGAGGCCGATGGTTCCTTGAGAGACTGAACTGCCTTCGTTGTGCTCTTAAATGATTCATCTATGAGTAGAACTTCTGCTAACGTTGGGTTGCCATTTTGTAAAGCAGAAGTGCGAACGGAATCGTGCGGAGTATTTAACATTATCATATCTCATATCATCTCATCAATGTACTCATGAGCGCAATTATCGGCATTACAAACGAAATTGCACTGACGAGCTAACCCTCGCAAATCCGCTACCCACTCTTTGTAGCTTTGGTTCGGCTTCATGCTACATTTGTTAAAATTATAACGCGCAGAAATCCCATGAACTTCTTTCTTGAAGTGGTCTGTCAATTTTACTGTTAGATCGACATAGTTTTGCGTTTGCAAATCCTGACTGCCGAGAAGTTTCATCAAGAGCTCGAAAGTGTCGCTTCCCAGCCACGACAAGAAAAATAACTTTTTCTTTTCTGGTGCGCAGACAGCGTATGCAAGAAAATGTTGGTTCAACTGTTCCAAATAGGAGTCCCAACTTTGGAGTTCCTTGTTGAATGCGTGGAATGATGGTACCATGGAACCTTCTACACGTCCACCAGCTTTGTCTCTTAGAACAGACTCCATCCACACTTTTTGTCCATCAAGGATTTTTTGGGTGAACTCCTGCTGCTGTTCCAGAACTTGCTTGAAAAACACATTGTAAGTGTTTGCAGTTGCTTTTTCGTCTGGCATAATTATTTACTGAATCGAAAATTGCAAATATACAAGGCTTATTTTTTATTTTTTTATCACACGTGATGCGTTTTTACTCCTCGTCGCCAGCTGATAAGTCCAAGTGAAACAAGGTGTAATATGCAACTAAACTTTATTAAAACTAAATATAAGTAAAAGCTTAAATGCCAAGAGGTTTAACATTACCAATAACAGATGTTATATAAGAGAACGAAAAATTACACTGAAGATGGCACAACGCCGAAACCGGTTTGTCTCCAAACCAAATTTGACAAGGGATGACGGAAAATCGTTCCACATTACATCATACTCCTACCCTGTCGGAAACACCAACAACGAAAATGAGAAGATGTTATATACTTGTAGTTAGAGTATAACAGAGTACGCATAAGTATACATACATATGTTCATGAACATATTAATTCAATGTTAACAATGTTGCCAGATTAAGCTAGTTCTTTAAGAGTAATTACTAGCAAAGCAATAGTTTAATATATAACAAAATATATGTGGGAATGACACGCAGACGAACGACAAGAAGTGGACGAACCCATTAGATACTTTAAAATGCAACTCTACGGACCTGATATACATACATACCACAACTTGACGAAAAAGACATGAGGCTTACTTGTTTGAAAACCGAAAGGACAGTTGCCATTTTACCTTCAAACGAATCGCATCTAGCTATGCCTATGTTTTAACAAATAATTTAAAATAAAGAAACATTATTAGTTACGAAGAACTAAATCTGTTTTACTTGTTTCTCACAAATTTGGGGACTCAACCGCGAATGAACTAAAGAGCCAAAATCGAAATGCTCATCGGGGTAGTGTAAATCGCGATTTAAAAGACTCAAGCATTGAATATGAGCCAGTTGTGAAACAATGAAACATGTGAAAAAGTTTAAAACGAATAAAATTGTTTTGTCGAAATTAAAATGAAAATGAGTATTGAAAGTTGATTTGCAAAGTTTGCGTTATTTGCGGAAAAAGCATAAATAAGTGTTTGAAGGTTATGGCTGAAAAGAATTTTCTCGAAATGCAAATTGCATGAAACGGCCGTTACATACGAAGTTCAAATTTTGTAAAGCTGAATATCAAAGATATGAAAGAATAAAGAAGTGAATTTTGAATTTGAAGGAGTTACGATAGCCAAAACCAGAAGTATAACCCAGTGCAGCTATAGACTAAGAAGAGTGCAGCTGAAAAGAATTTTCTCGACGTGCAAATTTCGTGAAAGGACCGTTACATACGAAGTTTGAATTTTGTACATAAAGCGGAAAATCAATTCATGTAAAAGTTTAGCGATCGTGAAAGAGAGAAAAAGGTGATTTTAAATTTGAAGCAGTTATGACAGTCGTACAAAGGAGTGTAAGCCGCACAGCTACAGATTTAGAAGAGTACGGGTACAAACTCCACAAAAATCAGTAAAGAGGAGAAAAGTCGAAGGTCGAAGCAGTGGAAGCCTCACAGCTATACACTGAGAAAGGTACAGCTACATATATCGCAGAAATCAGTAAAGAGGAGAAAATTTATAAATTAACGAAAGTCGAAGCAGTGGAAGCCGCACAGCTATATATTGAGAAGGGTAAAGCTACAGAGATCGCAGAAATAAGTAAAGAGAAGAAAATGTATAAAATTAACGGGAGTGGAAGCAGTGAAAGCAGCACAGCTATACACTGAGAAGGGCACAGCTACAGAGACAGTGCAGAAGCATGAACCAAAAATACAAGATCACGCCTTCTTCTTAGTAGCCCGTTATAATCGCATTTAGGAAAAAAGTTGGGCGACTTTGACATTAACCGTTTGTTTACATTTGTTCGTTGTTTACAATTTGGTGGTGGCTTTTTACTGCAATTTCCTTAATTTTCGCTTGTGACAACGTGTGCACACATAAGGTAAAGAATAATTTAACATAACGACATGATTTATAGAAGAATTTGCATAATAAAAATGATTATTCATGCGTTCAACAATTACGCGGTTTTTTTTTTGTTCTCTTCATTGTTTACTTCTTCCAACAAAGATGGCGTCGAGATTTCAACAGCTAGAAAATAACTTTTTTCTTTCTTTCGGGAAGGCGTGATCTTGTGTATTTCGTTCATGGTGCAGAAGAGTTATAAACAAATTTAACGACAGCCGAAGCATCGAAAATTGAAGCAGCGAAAGTCTAAAAGTGAACAAACGAAAGTCGAAGTAGTGAAAGCAGCACAGCTATACACCGAGAAGCGCACAGCTACAGAAAAAGCAGAAATTCGTACAGAGGAGAAGATTTATAAATGAAATTAACGAAAGTCGAAGTATCGAAAATTGAAGCAACAAAAGTCGCACAGCTATAGACAGAAGATAATAGCAATAGAGTCAACAGAAAGGAGTTAGAAGCGCGAGTAATTACAAAACAGAAAGTTAAAGAGGTACCAATAGATTAAGGGTATTCATTAAACCTTATAAATGCATTGTAAACCGTATAAACTTATAATTGTGTAAACCTTATAAATGAACTGTCAAAATTTGTATGGAACCTCGTTTACACATTTCTGATAAATTTATCCAGCGATTTCACTGAATAAACTTGATAAACTGAAGACAATGCAACTCTGTTGCAACTCTAGCTATGTTTTCTTAGGCAATAATCGGGATCCGCATACAAATTTTGCACGCAAATTCAACAACGATATGATCCTGATAGAGATCTGGTTCAATTATTATCCCGTCTGTTTGTTTTGTTTCACTGATAATTCGCAAAGTTTGGTAGCCGTGACAAATGAATTCATACACAAACAGACATTCTGCCATTGTTTCTTATAACTTGCTTCAAATAAATAGCCTTTATGTTATGTGTACATTTATTTAAATAGATATCTCGTAAATATAATTTTTTCCAATTTAGTGAGGTAGTTTCTATAATTTCTTTATCCCCGTGCTAGTAGTATAAAGTTAGTGACACTGCGCTTTATAACGAAAGAAAACACGACTATTGTCGCATGTGTAAACGAAAAGAGAGTGTGGGTCGTTCATGTAACAGAGTGCATAAACTTATAAGATTATCTGCTTGATAAAGTTATCGGTTTAGATGAATCCCACTATTGTAAGTATGCATAGGAATATCTAGAAATAGAAAGAATCGAAAGCATTGCTATAAAAAAATACATAGGTCAATGCGTGAGAGTAAATAGGAAAACAGATTACTTTGCAGATCAAAGTTTTAAGAATATCGTAATCAAAACAAACAAAGATGAATTGAATTAAATATTTTACAGTGCATGTATACAAGCCTTTTCCATTTTCAAATTACAAAAAAAGGTACTTTAAATATAGCTAGAGGCTTGAAATTTCAGGTAGCTTACTACAGTTTAGTGAACTACCAATCTGTAAAAAATCATGTCGGTATCATATATATAAAGCTAGATATATAGACATGTTGATTAATACACCACATTCGTAACACATACTGTATCGGTCATATCTATAGCACGCCATTTCAAAGTGATATTGTGTGCCACTTATGTTTATTAATTTATTTTTAAGAATTTTCAATTAAAATATAGTTCTTTCTCTAACAAAACCCATATAAACCCAAGTTTAACAATTTGTATAATACTACAAAAAAGTGCAACAAATTTTCATATAAATTTCAAACTTTTTTCTCGGAAGTGTTAGAATTTTTCTGAATACACAGTTTTATAGACCAATCAATTTTAGTCTGATAATGTGCAAGTTTCAAATGGCTAAATGGTTGCCGTTGATTTTTTAGAATTTTTTTCGCCAAAGGTGTTGCGGTTTTCTTCCATACACAAATAAATTGAGTTTATTCATTATATGGAAGCCAATGCGACAAAAAAAAAAAATTCTAAAAAATTAACGGTAATTCGTACCCACTTGAAATTTGCACATTATCAGACTAAAATTGCAGGGGCTAAAAAACTGTTTAAAAATTCTAACACTTCCGAGAAAAAAGTTTGAAATTTAGGTGAAATTTTATTGCACTTTTTTGAAGTTTTCTACAAATTGTTAAACTTGGGTATATATGGGGTTTGTCTGAGAATGAACTAAATTTCAATTGAAAATTCTTAAAAATAAATAAATAAACATAAGTGGCACACAATATCACTTTGAAATGGCGTGCTATAGATATGACCGATACTGTAGGTCTGGGTGGACCCACATATATTCCTATGTAATTTTTACCTAAAATGAAGGAATGCAACCGTTTCTCAAATTTTCTTTTAAATTTTTGAATTATCATGGCAAGAGATGATTTTTACCTAAAATGAAGGAATGCAACGGAATGCAATGGAATATTACCCCATTACAATTTTACTCGCCTCCAAAGCTCTTCCATGTTACTGGAGCTCGCTTGTGCTATGCTAATCCTCTCTTGACCACAGCGCTCAATTTTTCGTTGGTGTTGAGGTCTGGGATTTGCGC